CACCTAAAATTAGTTGCTGGTACAATTACTTGTGAATGCAAATGAGGTTTTAGACATCTAACCACGTGATTGTGCCTGTATATCAGGAATAACAATAACCATTTATTTCTGCCTACATTTAATTTGGCCAGTACACAAAAGCAATGCAAAAATAACCCTAAGGTGAGGCCACGTAGAAAATCCTGGCCCATACTGTGAAGGAAAGGGAAAGTGATCTTCCACGTATTTCCTTTCTCTGCTTCTTGTTCCCAAAGTTCTGGGAGCTAAGTAGACCTGGGACTGAATTTAGTACCCCATGCTACACAATAAATTGTAAAGGAAAGAGAGTTAAGGTCCTTAAGTATTCATAAATCAGTAAGGGCAATTTATTTACCATTCAGATCTTCTCTGCAGGGCAGGTGAACTGCAGCAATGGGTGCTGCCAGCAGGCACATGCCTTTATCAGAAAATAAATTGGATTTTTTGCTACAAATCTACAAACCAGGTGGTTAATGGTTCCTGCCAGCAGTGCCAGAAGCAACTGGCCCAGCTCTTGGAAGCCAGCTACTGGAGAAGGTTAAAGTGTAGGTTGCTGATATATACAGAGGGATGTTGAAGATGATGCTTGCATACCTATGAAATATCTCTATGTCTGTGAAAGACCTGTGAGTGCATGTGAAAGGGGCTTAAGGGGCTGTATTATGCCACAGGCTGCTGGAGGCAGGTCCAGAAGTCACTGTATCTCTTGTGCATGGAAGGGTCTTTTTACCACTGGACTTCCTGGGTTACCAGACCTGTATGGAACAATTTACTTTGGCATCTCCACAGTTTCTTATGAAGCTGTGTTTCAGGCTTTTTACTGTTCATTTTTCTTGGCCTGTATTGACTTCACTCTCTCCAGTATCAGCAACAATACTGTGCCTCTTCCTATCTCATCATATTCAAGCCCAGAGAGTTCTCATTAACTTTTGCATTCTGAAAGTCATGTGTCGCGGCATGGTAGGGCTAATGTTTTGATCATCACGGTGCTCCAAACACACATTTGCTGCTGACTACGGGATCCCATTCCATGTTATCCAGCTCCCATATAGTTTATTGCTGCTTTGTTCCATCCTTGCCGACTTTTTTTCCTATTTTGTCTCAACATTGGGCATTGGTAGACTCTTCTAAGCTTCCAAAGGTGTGACATTAAATTGCACTTTCTTCATGCACTGTTTTGGTGTGTATTGACACAGAGGAATATTCATCACTCAAGACCAAAGCTTTGCATCACCAACCGCTTCTCTGAATACCACCCTGTTTATGCTTGATGTACAGTGACTGAATGCAGGCTGGTGCTATGCTATGTGCCCATCTTTGTGTTAGGGGAGAATGACAACAGTGACTTTTCTGTGTGCAGGTATGCTGCATCGGGAATATTCCTTCTGCCACAGTTCAGAAATCTTGCCAGTTGGCAGTAGATGCATTTGGAGTTAAGAGTCCAAGAGTGAAGTGAGCCTGAGGTAACCTGTATATAAAGGCCCTGCCTCCTGTGATATGTCATGTCATTTCTATCATTGTGGGGTTTGGGAAGTTTAGGGGCCAGGGTGCTGCAGTGTTTTATTTCATTCAGTTACAGTAAACACTTAATAGCTAATATTTAGTAATGATTTAAAAAACAAATCCTAGAAGACATATTTCCTCCTCATATTTCCTCTTGCAAAACCAAAAGGTTTGAGGGAAATTGCTTCAATTAATGTTCTGGAAAGAGAGTTCCTCTCAGGCCTAGGATATAATTTTGAGGGGTCAGACCTTTACTAGAGCAGTCAATGGCCTGTAGGAGAAGGCAGGCCCCAGAAATGGGGTAGGCTGAGGCTCACATCAAATTTCAAATCCCCAGCATTTTCTTCTGAATTGAAGTTGCTATTTTTCTGGCAAACCCTAGTTAATATTTATCTGTAGTTGATTACAAAAGCATGATTGGCTGATTAGATTTTATGATTCATAACACTGAGTAGGGAGGGAATAAGGTGCCCTCTTATAGCCAGATGTCATCTCCTCATCTAGTGGGCCTCATGTTTTGTGAGTTATCACTGCATTGCATTTAGAAATTAAAATCTAAAATGATGCCAAGCTCACTTTAAGTGGTGCTCACTTTTAGGAACAGTGAGTGGCATTTTAATGGTAAATAAGAGTAATTGATTTGGGACCACTATTAAGGTTTGGTTTGGTTTTCCCTACTACCGGAAGACACTCTTTGCTATAGCTGTGGTGAAGTTTCGCCTTCTGTTTGGTTCCTAACACCCTGGATCTATCCTTTAAGCTTCCTGAGTCTGAGCAAAGCTCTCAGGCATTGCATCTGGATCTGGGCTTCTAGGCACACACCCAAGGAAGAGATCTTCAGTCTAGCACTTCTTTCTGAAAGCTAAGATCATACACCTATATAAGCTCCTGCCTAAGCATTATATCAAGTTCTGGCTTGCCGAGACTCTCCACTAGCATAGGCATTCACTTTTCTGGAAGTCCAAGTAGTTTACAGTCTACCTGTGCCAGGGGCATATGATAGCTGAAGTACATACCATGCATTCTTTGGAAAAGATGCCAGGACCAATCTGTCTTTACTAGACCACTGATATAAACAAAGCAGTAAAATGGCCTGTATGCCATTTCTTGGCTCCTCCTTCCCCACAACTCATCACGCGATTGTATTTCTGGTCCATTTATGAACCTTCACTCCCCAAAATTCTCCTCCTTTTGGGATGTTTTATACATCAAGGCAAACAAGCAGCAGCTCTTGCATAAAGGTGACAGGATGGTGAAGTTCCAACTGATAAACCTGCCTCAATGAAACTGGAATGATAATGAGGAGCCAAGTGTCTGTGCCCACCCTCAGCCATCCCTATAGGTTGAGGAGGTTTGTACATTTTCCAACAAAATGATTTTCTCTTTGGAAAATGCCAACAGAATTTGCCAAACACAAAAAGAAAATAATGGAAGCAGTCAATTTCAACAAATCTTACCTCTGAACACAAGCATGTTTTCATTAAAAGCATGCATGATTTCCTGGAGGTTCACCCATGCGGTTCATCTGAAGGATAAAAACAAGACCCCAGGGTGTCCAGGGCTCGAGGACAGCCCCAGCAAATGGCCTGTCTTTTGGTCAGAAATGCCAGGGCTTCCAGGAGCCTCCAGATTTGCTGGCCAGCTGACTCCTTGCCTGCTTGACCCTAGGCCTGAAAATCTGGAAGCCCCGAGGTCTCTTGGCTTTGAGCATTTAACCAGGAGGATTGCCCCAAAACTTCAGCCTATGGAAGCCCCATGAACTCTGACTCTGATGCAATCAGTATAGTAGGCTTGCCTTGGAGCCAAGGAGTTTAGAAGCCCCGACAGCTGCTGATGTAAACTGATGTGACTTTTTTCCCGCCAGTCTTGTGGATTTCAACACTGCTGTCTCAGTGTCAGTGATGAGCTCTTGGCGACTGAGAAGAGCATATTCTGTTTCTGGACTACAATTTAGATTTCAAAATCAAGACTTGTATGATTTCAGTTCCATTTTTTGTTTTTGGATATCTATTCCAAATCTGGATGAAAATAATCCAGAAATTCAGAGATTATTGAGGAATAACAAACAGGATTCTTAGGATGCAGGAACAACCTTGACAGAAGGAAGGAAGGGGTGGACAGGGACAGCTTCCAGGGACCTACTGACAGACAGAGAAATGGTTAAGCAACCAAACGCCTTCCTGTTCACATCCGCCACATACCACAGCAGATGCCAGCTCGGCTGTCCTTTTGACACTGGTTTGATGAACTGCTTCCGATTCTGTATCCAAATTAAACCTGCTCTACTACTGCTCCAGGTAAAAGAGGCAGCTGGAAGAGTTTTCCTCCTTAGAGCAGATCAAAGGCCACCCAAAGGAAAGCACAGGCTTCGCAGCAGCTGCTACTGTCTCAGCAAGAATAATAGGGCTGTGTCTGCAGCAGTGTGTGTTTATTGTCTGTCAGCAACCACCTTTTTTTCTTTGAACTACTAGTTGCTCCTGCACCTGCATCTTTCCAGTTAATGGTTGCTAGCCAGGTGTTTTTCCCTGTGCTCCCACAGGAAAATGGATTCCTTGGCAAGAGCTAGCATGTGTTTTTCCCTTACCTTTGTTCAACTTCAGGGTGCTATCGTCTATACAAACTGCATGTCACCTGTCTGGAGGAGCTGCTTTCCAGATTCATCATCTGCAATTCTCATGTAGCAAAAATGTTAGGGACAATAAGAAAATGTATGAAGAGCACAGAAACATTTTAGGGCTGCAGTCCTGTGATGAGCACCATGAAAATGGATGGCTGTGCTACTAGAACAGTGATTCACAACCAGGGTGCCATGACACCCTTTGGTGCCTTGAGATAATTTCAAGGGTCCCACAGGATGACATGAGGTATTACGACTGTTAATTGTGCAAAAGTGAGATAAATCCAGAGTTTTCAAATAGGAATCCATAGCATTAAATACATTTGGACCCGTTGTGGTCTTTCTGAGTTCTGTGAAGAATTGTTCTATTAGTCTTCTGTAGTTAAAAAAAAACAAAGTAAAAACTAAGAGCTGGCATTTTCTCTGGGGTACTTCGAGTCTAAAAAAGGTTGAGAATCACTGTGCTACAGAGTGCTACTAAAGCTGGTATGGCTTTGTGTAGGTGCCTGCCCGTGGAAGGATTGTGCTTCTGTCCAGTGATTTGAGTAGGCTTTGGATCTAGCCTTCAATGAACATACGTCTTCTACATTTCAATTAATATTGCCATATATTTTTTTAATAATAAAATGCATTTGACAATAGGTCAAAGGTACAAAGCTTTCAAAAAATGGCTCTTGGAAGGTAATTTTGTGTTTAGTTTATGCAATGAAAAATAAACTAACATGAACTACAGCATAGTGTTTCCCCAAAATATTTTTTATCCAGGAGTATGTTGGGGCAAGATGAATTATTTTAGAGTACGAAGGTTGCCATTAAGATATCCTGCAGTGTCTTTTAATTTCACTCTTTTATTTCTAGGTATTTCCACACTATATACTTGGGTATCCGGAGTCGACAGAGTGGAGAGAATGACAGATGGCGGTTTTATTGGAAAATGGTATATGAGTATGCAGATGTGAGTATGCTGCATTTGCTAGCCACGTTTCTGGAAAGTGCACCACAGCTGGTTCTGCAGCTCTGTATTGTTGTACAGACTCGGACCCTACAGGCTCTCCAAGGTAAGAGTTCACTGAATGTATTTTCATCACATGATTTATGTACCTTTGTGTCCTCTTCTTTAAAGACATCGAGCCTGCTTTATTTCTTGCATAAAAATGAGGCCTCCCTACTGGCAGCTATCACACTTATAACAATGACTGTGTCAAGGGCACATTGTGGGTTTTTTCTCAGCCTATCTTGTCAGCCCTGGTTAATGACAGTAACCCTTTTCTGGTTTTGCCCCCTGGATGCCCTTCTTATAAAAAGAAGCCCTTATGATTATCTACTTAAACAATATGAGACTTGAGGGAATAAAACAAAGACTTTTTTCCCAATGCTTATTACTGGGATTATTCAAACATTTTTTTTAAAAGCTTCACAATTCACCTAGGTATTATGCAAAATAAAAGTGGTACAGCAAAGAGCAGTGATATTGTGAAGGAAATGTCAGGGTCTGGGAAATGTCTGTCCATCAGACGTGTGTTTCTGATGTAGTACACTTAGCTGCTGACTGTTGCAAAAATGCCTACTGCTTGAAGCGTTTCCCTTAATTCTGCAGTTTGATATTGCTTCCAGAAGGCCTGCTCATTATTTTAGAAAGGTAAATGCAAACACGTGTCCTTGATGCTGGCTTCCTATATGGATTGGCAGTGCAATAATATATGGCTATTAATAGAGATTCTTTTATTGCTACTTGTTTAATGGTTTTCTGTTGCAATAATATGTGAATTATTGGCAGGAGTAAGACACTCTTGAGATTCCAGGGACTTAAGCTCATCTGATCAGTGAACACAGATGTATGGGAAAGGAAGGAAGGTTTATCATTGCTATTAATAACTAAAGAACAGTTGTAAAAAAAGTAAGGTGAATCTCTGTCCCAAGAAGCTTATAATTTAGTTAGCTTGTCAGGCATAGCATGCATTGAGATTGATTAGGTGAAAGGAATTGGGAACAGAGAAGTGTACCAAAGAGAATGAATGAAGAAAAAGAGTAAATGACCCTGATGTAGGTGCCTGTGGACAGGTCAGGGATCCCTTTGCATACATCTTCTGTCAACATATGTGGGGTAAAAGCTGTCCTGTTTACTAAATGTTTACTATATTTTGTTTTTCTTCTTCCAACATACTACTTTGAACATATTTTAGCTAGTGTACTATACAGAAATTATTGCCTAAACCCTTCCTGTAGCATTTTAAGTGATACTGCTCCATACCAAGCTATTATCACTTAGAAGACTAATGTCAGTTCAAGAAGAAATCTGCTAACTGACTTAGCTTTGGCTTTCCAGAAGTGTCTCTGAGTGAAACTTTACAAAGGAATAATAGATCTAAAGTATGTTGTGGTCAGCTATAATTTAGGATTCGTCATAGCTCTTTGATATGGAGGCCTTATTTCTATGTAGCAATAGGTTTGTCTGTGAGAAATGTGACTGGTGAAATAGGCATGGAACCCATGAAGCAGGCTGCAACTGCTTACTAATTAAAACACCTGTTTTGGTTTAGCAAGCAAAGATGGTTCCTGAAGCCTGCAGTCAACTGGCTGTGTCAATTCTGTATGTCAGAAACCAGAAACGGATATCACTATAATTATGCATTTTAGCAGTGCAAGCAGTTCATAACAGTTTCTGATTACATTATCCCCCAACCAATTTTCTCCCAGCTTCCCAGGAGGAAAGGCCCCATTTTAACCCCCCCCCCCACAGATGGCCCTGGTAA